GGGGGGGCCCGGGGGGGGTGGGATGCCCTTATCTCATTTTGGGGTGCCCCGGTAGATGCTGAAGCCGTCAAGGCAGAGGTTGATGCTGGATCTGGAGACCCTTGAGGGACTTTTGACGGACCTTGGGGAGACATTTGAGGGTCCTGGGGGGCAGGGGGGGTCAGGGTGCCCTGGGGTTTTTTTGGGGGGCCCGGGGGGGGGGGGGGGGGTGCCCTCACCGGTGGATGCCGGAGCACTCGATGCAGAGGGTGATGCCCAGGTTGACGCTGGCCCAGGCGGGTGCCGGCTCCCGGCAGTCGCAGCAGCTCCCATTCCCCTCCAGCCCCAGCACCGTCTCCAGAACCTGAGATTCAGGGGGCCCCCCCCGAACCCCCCAGGACCCCGACCACGAACGTTCGGGGGGCTGTTGGGGGGGGGCAGGGGTTGGGTAGTGCTTGGGGACCCCCCCTGGGGGGTAGGGAGGGGACCCCAATCCCCCCTGGAGAAGGTTTTGGGGTGCCAGATCACCCCATGAGAATTTTGGGCGGTCCTTAACTCCTCCAGAAGAGTTTTGGGGATCCCTGATTCCCCTGTAAGAGTTTTGGGGGGGGTCATTGATTCTTCAGGAGGGTTTGGAGGGTCCCTGACCCCCCATGAGGCTTTTAGAGTCCCCAATCCCCCCCCAAAGGTTTTGGGGGTTCCAGATCACCCCAGGAGGGTTTTGGGGGGTCCGCAATCCCCCCATGAGGATTTTGGGGGTCCCCAATCACTCTCAGGGAGGTTTTTTTGGGGGGGGTTGTCCCTGATGCCCCCAGGAGAGTGTTTGGGGTCCCAGCCCCAGCCCAGGGGGTCCCTGATCCTTCCAAGAGGGTTTTGGGGTCCCTCATCTCCCCCCCCAGGAGGATTTTTGGGTGTCCCTGATCCCAGGAGGGTTTTGGGGGGGGTTCCTGGTGCCCCCAAAAGAGTTTTTGAGGGTCCCAGGTCCACCCAGGGGACTTTTGGGGTACCCACCTAGCCAGTTGGGTTTTTGGGGGTCCCCCCCTGCCAATGGAGGAGGTTTTGGGGTACCGACCTGACCGGGGGGGTCCCGGGGGGGCCCC